ACCATTGTGCGCTGAAAATGAAGCGAGGAACCTCATTTTGCAACCATTCTTGGGTGGCGCGTGCTGAGTCCTATTGGAATGTCCAAAATGTTTGCGTGCCCAAGGCTTTAATACACCCTCCAGAATATTTTCGCTATTATATTCGGCATTTATTCTAATGCCATGGTCGATTAATGCGAGCGGAGGGCAAACATCGGCTGTTATTGCAGCCCACACCATGGCCGGCGTTCTGGTGGCCAACCGAAGTTCTGGTGCACATTTTCAGCTGATCTCTTTGGCAAGTAAACGCAATTATTTTGTTTGTTTACATTGTTCGGCTGGACAACGAATGTTTTCTCATCGGAGACCACCAAACCAAATTCGGCAGTTTACCACTTTCGGCCAAGCGGAACAACTCTTTGGCTCTTTTGAGTCTATTTTCGTCTTTGTTGCGGTGTAAGTTCTCGAACTTTTTGGAATTTCAATGGCTTTACCCCAAACTCATTTTTCAATATTTGGCGAATGCGATATTGCGATATGTTCAGCTCACGAGCCATTTTTCACTACTACATTTTGGCCGTCGCGTGCTTCGATCAAGCGGCTTCTTGACTTTTCAAACCATTTCTGCTGATGTGGCTGTTTTCTTCCGACCACTGCCTTGACGTCAGGCTACGCTACCAGTAACAGTATCACGGTAACGAGCAATGGTACGAGACACAAAGGATTTATTTTTAACAGCTGTTGGACGAGTGGCCTAGAAATAAAAGCAGTCTGAAGTTGGTTGCAGTTTTTTCATCTCACCCTGTATATATATTTTTTATTTTGGGAAGTAATAGATTTTTAAGAAGATTATAAAATGGATTTTTAAAATTTTTTTGAACTTTTCATATATTTTTCGAAAACTTCCTCGTTCTTTCCCTTGGGCATTTCTAATATTTGTTTTTAAATTCTTACCAATTTTATTTAAATAAACATCCCATGAATCTTCTCCATATTTCAATGGTGCTTGGGCATTTTTGAGAAAAAAATTTTTGGTTGGATTTTTTAAGGAAATTTGAAGATGGATTTGTTGGAAATTTCGGGTTTTTCAAAAAAAAAAAAAAAAAAACAAATGTGGAACTATTTTCAATAGAAAACTTAATGACAATTCTTGGTCATTTAAAATAATTTTTTTTATTATATTCTTATCAGTTTTGTTTGGCCAAACATCACATGAATCATCTCCATATTTCCATGATGCCTGAGCACTATGAATATCAAAGAAATATCAAAACTGAATTCCAAATTGAATACATTTTCGGGTAATCAGTGATTAGACTGAGTCACAATGTTTGACCTTTGACATATTTCTGATTAGAAAAAAAAGCAAAACAAAATTTGGTTGAATTATTTTGAAGTGGAAACAACAAACTCGGATAAGATGCTGCTGTGGACAGAAAAGATTTGATTTTTCAATTTAAATGGAATCGTAAAAAAGAAAAAAAATACTGAGACTAAGAAAATAAAATCTATATTTTATTTGTTTATATTTTATTTTTATGCATAGTTATGCTCTGTTCCAAAATCGGAATGGAATCGTAAAAAAAATAAAAAATAATGCTTAGACTAAAAAAATATAAAATTACATTTTATTTGTTTTCTATTTAATTTTTATGCGTAATAATGCACTGCTCCACCTTCGGAAAGCATCTACATTTTACTTGTTTATATTTTATTTTTATGCATAGATCAATATTTGCAATAAATTTCACTTATTATATGTCCTTCGTCAATATCTTCATTTGTGTGTCATTTTCATCAAACGACGCCAAACGCCTAATCCTTGCATTGTGTGTTTAACGCTGTTTTTATTTGAATTGATTGACATCACTTAACTTGACTTCTCTGTAGCATTGTTGCCACATCATGTGTAACGACCACACTGTGTTAGAGGGTATTACGTTTTTGTGCATTTTTTATGTAACATTGAAAAGTAAACGAGATAAATTCATATTTCCATTTTACAATCTTCATAGAATTACTTTTTGAGTTGATTTATGTATGTCCGTCCGTCTGTCTGACCATGTATTTTTGTGACCAAAATGCAGGTCAAATTTATAACCCGATTTTGACAACATTTTAAACCGTTCATTTGTTTGGCCCAAGGATGAACCCTTTGGCATTATTAGGCATAATCAGTAAATATTTGGATATAGCTCCCATATATATCTTCATCCGATTTGCCTTTTATGGTACCAAATGTTTAATATTAGTCCGAATAGGGTGGAATTTGGCACATGCGACCAAATTTGGATCAGAAGCGAGTATTTCAAATTTCAAATCAAATTCAGCCTGGAAGAAAGTGAGCCAAATTAGATGAAAATTGGTTCATATATAGCTCCCATATATATGTTTTATCCGATTTGGTGTTTGGGCCCCTCATATTCGCAATGCACTCCACAAGAATGATATTTGGTACCAGATATCAGATACAGCCCCGAAATACCTCTGCCGAATTTTATCAAGATCGTTTCTGGTTTGTATATATCTTCAATATTTATATGCATCCGATTTCACGACTATTTTGTACTAAATATGTAATATCAGCACATTTTACCGAATTTTTTCATTTGGTGAAACTCGGTTCCCATATTCCTATTGATCCGATATATATTTTTTTATATAATCCTTCTCAACAGCTTATCACATTACAAGACTACCAACAGAAAAAAATTGTATTCAGGTGATTGCTTTGCCCAACCTTGTCTTCATAGTACCATGTTTTAAATTATTTTTTAAATTTGGTATAAAAGGTATTTAAGTTTGTGTGATATATAGTAATTTTTATTAAAAAAAAAAAATAAAAAAAATGTTAAAATGTGTCATTTTCCCCATATGTGAACTGATTAACTTTTCCGTGTGTATTAATGCAGTTTTTCTAGTGGCAACACTGCTTCTCTGCCGCTTTTGCAGCATAAATACAACATATGCCAGTGAGAGAATGTCTTTCGTGTTGACATTGGAGGAAAAGAGATAGCCATATATTTTGTTTGAACACTCATGATAGAATTTGTAGGGCATTTTTATATTTTAAATAATTTCAAGTTTTTCTACAAAATTTGCAAAATGTTGTAATGCAAAATGCTACTTTGGACACTTTTAAATATTTTACAATGCCAACATTGAAAATATACGGTTTCATAAAGAAGATAATGTCCAGAAAAACTCTTCGTACCTACAAGAGTTTTTAGGAAGTCTTTTTTGCTGTGCAACTGAGAGAGTGCAATGTTTTGATTTTTGTTGTTGGAATTTAACTGAGAGTCAGGGATGCCAACTACTCCGACGTAAAAATCGCTACACCACAAATCTCTATTGACCAAAAAACACTATGAAAATTAGTAAAAACAGCAGAGAGAAGAAGGAAAGTTAAACAAGTAAAAAAGCTGTAAGATCGTCCGGGCCGAACTTTCAATATCCTCCACCATTTGGAACGAATTTGGCAATTTTCAAAAAAAATAAATAAAATCCGTTAAAAATTCTGTTAACATCCTAAGGCTGCAAATACATAAAAAGCTTGAAGTCATGGCTAGGCATATTAATGTCAAATTATAAGGAAAAACGACGGCAGGATTTTAGTGCGGCTCTGTAATTCCTTTGTGAAATGTCACAAAATAGGCCGTGCCATGACTTCAAGCTTCTTATGTACTTAGCCCTTAAAAATACCGAATGTAGCCGTTATATAAGGGTCTATAGAACGACGTGGACCTGCATAGGCAACTTTTGTCATAAGTATTACAATATTTAAATGCGAAACTTAAAAAAATCGGTGAATAACGTAGCTGAAATCATCAAAATAACGACTATAGGGAGGTACCATTATAAGGGTGCTATACCAAATAAAGGCTGTAGTATCCATTACGAACTTCAAATATTGAATTTGAGACAGTTCCGGTGAATAATGTAGCTAAAATCATCGAAATACCTAATAACGGGAGGTACCGTTATATAGGGACTGTACGAAGACGTGCACCTGCACACACCATTTTCTATTACGAAGTTCTTATATCGAAGTTGAAGCAATTCCGGTGAATAATGTCGCTAAAATCATCAAAATACCGAATATCGGGAGATACCGTTATATGAGGGCTATACGAAGACGAGCGCCTGCACACCCCATTTTCTATTACGAACTTCAAATACCAAATTTGAAACAATTTCTGTGAATATTGTCGCTTAAATCATCAAAATACCGAATATCCGGAGGTGCCGTTATATGGGGGCTGTATGAAGGCGTGGACCTACATGGCCCACTTTCAATACCAAAAGTCCTGCAGACATGCATTTGAGTAAAATTTCATCAACCTACTTCAAATCGTTCGGAAGTTGGATAGGTTTCGACAGAGGGACGTACATCGCTAAATCGACATAGAATTTTATGCTGATCAAGAATATACATATATACTTTGTGAGGTCTAAACTTTATATTTCGTTACAAAGGGAATGACAAACTTAATATGTCCTCCATACTATGGTGGAGGGTATAATAAGTTTCTTGTCAAATTATTCTTTTCTAACCGTTTATTTTCCTTGGTCCGTTTTTTAGTTTGTTTGCTCTAAAAATGATGAAAGTAATACATTTTGCGTAAAAAGTCGTTACTGTAGCGATTTAAAAAAGAAAATCGCTACAACTCTTAGGGTGCAAGTACATAAAAAGCTTGAAGTCAAGGCTAGGCATATTAATGTCAAGTTATAATGGACAACGACGGCAGGATTTTAGTGCGGCTCTGTACTCCCTTTATGAAATGTCACAAAATATGCCTAGCCATGACTTCAAGCTTCTTATGTACTTACAACTTTAAACAGCGGTTTTCATGCGTCAAAAAATCACCACAAGTAGCGGTAAAACCACTAACATGGCATCCCTGCTGAGAGTGCATATTTTGTTGGTTTGTTATTTCTCTCACTTCACACTCCCAACAAAATGCTCTCTTTCAATGAACGAAGAGTTTTTCTCGACACATTTTAATATTTATTTATTTTCTAGTAATGTTTTAATATTTCATTTATTTTAATTTTGTCTTTTGTCTGGAACGGATGGAGATCGTGGGGACAATTTATTAAAGAAAAATATACGCTTTGCAAGGCGAAGACAAAACGAAATACATTAAATTAATTAATAAGTGCAAAAGTGAAATACAAGACAAAAGAAATAACAACAACAATAATATACGGCAAAGGAAAGAAAACCCCCAATTCTCGAATCCATGCAAACAAAATTCCTAAACTCGGAAACTTAAAACTATTTTTAGTTGTGTAAAATAATAATATTTTATATATAAAAAATATGCTTACATTTAAAAAATTCGGTAGCTTTATGCTACTAGTGTGTCTGATAATTGCCTCTGGAAATTGTATCCAAGATGAAGTGTTGACAGAGGCAACAACGGCAGCGGCGTTGGAGGAGGAGACACCTCTGGATGGTATGTAAACAAAAATTGCAATTCATTTCGGCTTAACTCTAGTTTAGTAAAAACTCTTCAATTTTTTCGAAAATTTTTTCAGTGGTAGGTATTTTAACCGTGATCCCAGGAAACTATTTTTTTCTTGGGGGACGGACCTGGGACCCCAGATTTTTGACCCGAAAGTCCGGGTTTGAGACCCCGACTAGACCCGGATCCACTTACCCGATATAGACAATATGGGTATCGTTGGAAAGCTTATGGAAATACCTATCCAACAAGTGGTCACATGATGGGGTAAGATGTTACGGTTCGGAAGTTATAGTCAAATTATCGATTTTTTGGACCCGGATTTTTTATAAAACCCCCAAAAAGTCAAAAAAGGGTTCATTATGGGGGACAACAAAATTGATGCCAAATTAAAGCTGACACTTCTACCTTTCCAAAAAGGTTCAATTTGTGCTAATACCTTTACTGAGTCCAGAGATATGGGTCTTTCCATCCGCATAACCCGATTCTAACCAGTTCATTAAAACTATGTTTTCAATAAAAAAAGGTATATTTTGCGTAAGAATGAAATTCAGAAATCTTTGGTTCGCGTTAGCCGGTGTAGGACATACCCAGAGGAGAAAATCTAAAGCCCCGGCCGAAGGCCGGCTACTTACAAAAGGTATCCAATTTAGAAAACTTTGGTTCGCGTTAGCCGGTGTGGGACATACCCAGAGGAGAAAATCTCAAGCCCCGGCCGAAGGCCGGCTACTTACAAAAGGTATCCAATTTAGAAAACTTTGGTTCGCGTTAGCCGGTGTAGGACATACCTAGAGGAGAAAATCTCAAGCCCCGGCCGAAGGCCCGCTATTTACAAAAAGTGTCAAATTTAGAAAACTTTGGTTCGCGTTAGCCGATGTGGGACATACCCAGAGGAGAAAATCTCAAGCCCCGGCCGAAGGCCGGCTACTTACAAAAGGTATCCAATTTAGAAAACTTTGGTTCGCGTTAGCCGGTGTAGGACATACCTAGAGGAGAAAATCTCAAGCCCCGGCCGAAGGCCGGCTATTTACAAAAAGTGCCGAAATTATGAACCTTTTGTTCGCGTTAGCCGGTGTCGGACATACCCATAGGTGAAAATCTCAAGCCCCGGCCGAAGGCCAGCTATTTACAAAAAGTGCCAAATTTAGAAAACTTTTGTTATTCCGACGACTGCTACGCGAAATAAACACTTTTTTCATTAAAAACATCATTTTAATGAACTGGTTAGAATAGAGTTATGCGGATGGAAAGACCCATATCTCTGGAACCGAAAAAGGTATTAGCACAAATTGTAGCATTTTGGAAAGGTAAGAGTGTCAGCTATAATTTGGAAACAATTTTGTTGACCCCCATAATGGGCCCTTTTTTGACTTTTTGGGGGTTTCATAAAAAATCCGGGTCCAAAAAATCTATAATTTGACTATAACTTCCGAACCATGACAACATACCCCTTCATGTGACCACTTGTTGGATAGGTATTTCCATAAGCTTTCAATCGATACCCATATTGTCTATATCGGGTGAGTGGATCCGGGTCCAGGCGGGGTCTTGATCCCGGACTTTCGGGTCAAAAATCTGGGGTCCCGGGTCCGTCCCCCAAGAAAAAAATAGTTTCCCGGGATCAGGGTAAAAATACCTACCTCTGGAAAAAATTTCGAAAAAATCTAAGAGTTTTAACTAAACTAGAGTTGTTCCTTCATTTCATTTGTTTCTATTAACAATTGCTGTTTTGTTTATGTCATTTTTTAAGTTTTTATTGAAATCATGGGATGGTCTGACTGGATGTGGTTGCATATCTATTACATTTACATGCATGTGTCTTGTGGGCCGGTTAATTTCAATGTCTGTCTATGATGATAAAGGGGATAGTTGGGGGAAGGCATGAAGCAAGGAATTTAAAGATTTCTTTTTGTTTTTTTTTATTCAATGACTGCAGCGCCTATATGGATGCAGTCCAAAAACATGATATCATTTTATGTGCTAGTGGCTATGAAATGGCCTGCATTCGTTGTATTTTGAAAGACACATACTTATATAGATTTTTTTGGAATATTACTGTATTGAGATTGTGCATATGATACAATTTCATGGATGTGAAATAATAATATTCGGCATATGTAGTATTCTTTGGAAATGACATGCAATTAAATACGTGTGTGTATGACGAGATAAGACTAACTTGCTTTCCGGTTTCAAAACAAAAAGTAGGACGACGATGAGCAAGCAACAAGTGTTGGATTTTTTCTGTTTCAGGGACACAGCCATATATACACACATTTTTTTAGGTAAAGGCAAAAAATGATAATTATTTTTTCATAATGATTTTATGATTTGCATTTTAGAATGTTGTGATAAGTTTCGAAGGAATGTAAAATTTTGAATGTAGATAAGAAGAAAAAGGACAATATTTTCCATAGAACATTTCTTGCAAACAAAGGAACAACTCTGGTTAAGTAAAAACTCTTCGATTTTTTCAAAATTTTTTCCAGAAGTAAATATTTTGTTCCTGATTCGAGGATACTATTTTTTTTGTTTGAAAGCTTAGAAAAATGCCTATCCAACAAGTAGTCACTTTTGGGTCAAAAATTCCGGACTTGTGTGTCAAAAATACCGGTCCGTCCCCCAAGAAAAATATTTTCCCGGAATCAGGGTTAAAATAACTATCATTGGGAAAAATTTCGAAAAAAAATTAAGATTTTTTACTAAATTAGAGTTAAATCCAAAAAATATTACATGCATATATTAAATTTTTTTAAATACTTTTAAGCCAACGTGGATTCTGGACTTATTGCTAGATTTAAGCCAATTCTTGGCGCCTTAACTAATATCTGCTGAGACTCTGGTCCCGCAGTTCGTTTTACAGAGTCTTTGGCCCCCAGCTTGTCATTCTCTAGCTTGTCTTTACGGACTAACTGGCCCCTCAGGATTCTCTCTCTTTGGACATATACCTCGTATATAGGGAGTATTCCTGGATCTTCAACTAGTCTAGTCTCCGTGGCCCCTCAACTCTTCTTTGAGGACTCCGTGGGCTTTAAGCTAGTCTTAAGTCAATTCTTGGCGCTTTAAGTCCGTTTGTGCATAGTCTCTGGACCCCAGCTTGTCTTTGCGGAGGCCAGTTAGTTTGGTCCCTACGGACTAACTGGCCCCTCAGGATTTTCTCTCTCTTTCTCTTTGGACACATACCTAGCATATAGGAAGTATTCCTGGAGTTTCAAGTCGTCTAGTCTTCGTGGCCCCTCTTCGTGCCAATTCTTGTCTTTTTAACCCGTCTCTAGTCCCCAGTTTGTCTTTACGGACTAGTTTGGCCTTTAAGTTCGATTTTATAGACTCCTTGGCTCCTCTTCTCTTTGCATGGGGTCTTTGGCCCTTCAGCCAAAGTTCGTCGTGGATACTACAGCCTATGACAGAAAATAGTCTGTGCAGGTCCACGTCTTCATAAAGCCCCATATAACTGTTTCTCCCTCCGATATTTTGATGATTTTAACGACATTATTCACCGGAATTGTTTCAAATTTGGTATTTTATGTCCGTAATGGATAGTACAGCCTATGACAGAAAATTGTCCGTGCAGGTCCACGCCATCGCATAGCCCCATATAATGGTACCTAACGATGTTCGGTATTTTGATGATTTTAACGACATTATTCACCGAATTTTCTCATTTGAATATTATAATGGCTTATAACAAAAGTGGTCTATGCAGGTCCACGTCGTCGTATAGAGCCTAATATAACGGCTACATTTAGTATTTTTAAGATTTTAACAGAATTTTTAGCGGATTTTATTTTCTTTTTGAATATTGCCAAATTCGTTTGGCCCGTCCGAACTTACATAATTTTTACTAGTTGTTCTATTTTTTCGCATAGCCCCATATAATGGTACCTCCAGATATTCGGTATTTTGATGATTTTAACGACATTATCCACCGAATTTTCTCATTTGAGTATTATAATGGCTTATAACAAAAGTGGTCTATGCAGGTCCACGTCGTCGTATAGAGCCTAATATAACGGCTACATTTAGTATTTTTAAGATTTTAACAGAATTTTTAGCGGATTTTATTTTCTTTTTGAATATTGCCAAATTCGTTTGGCCCGTCCGAACTTACATAATTTTTACTAGTTGTTCTATTTTTTCGCATAGCCCCATATAATGGTACCTCCAGATATTCGGTATTTTGATGATTTTAACGACATTATCCACCGAATTTTCTCATTTGAGTATTATAATGGCTTATAACAAAAGTGGTCTATGCAGGTCCACGTCGTCGTATAGAGCCTAATATAACGGCTACATTTAGTATTTTTAAGATTTTAACAGAATTTTTAGCGGATTTTATTTTCTTTTTGAATATTGCCAAATTCGTTTGGCCCGACCGAACTTACATCATTTTTACTAGTTGTTCTATTTTTTTATGCTCTTAGCTTATTGTAACCGCTTCACGCCTCTATATACCCCTTACCTCACTTTTCACCCCTTCCGGTTCATTAAGCTTGTCTCTAAATACCCTAAAGGCTTCAAAATTAATGCCATTTCGAATAATCGGTTCATCTGTGTATAGACTCCCTGATCCCACCTTGACTGTACTAGCATCCCTGGCCCATAGATTGTACATTATGACCCCCTGGTATTGAAAACTTCCGATCATATAAGCTTGTCTTTTAAAGAATCTAATACGTTTATAAGTAGACTTCTTGGCCACACGTCCATATTGATTTCCTGGCCCCTTCTTTAGGTCTAGATCACTCTAGACTCCCTGGTCCTCAATCACGCCTACATAGATGAACGTTCAAAACACCTGTTTTGTTGTCTGTATCGGCTCTCTGGCCCTATCTGTTCGTTTTTATAGACTCCTACGCCCTTAGCTCGTCTCCATCCTTTCCGACCCCCAGTTTGACTTTACATAATGACTACCTGGCCTTTAACACTTTTGGTCTGTTAGGCTTGTCTACAGAAAAGCCTCCTCATACGTTCAACAGTAGACTTTTTGGTCATTCATCTATATGGACTTCCTGGTCCGTTGTTTAGGTGTATATAGCTTGAACATAATCTCCCTGATCTTAAACACTTCTGATCCGTTAAGCTTTTCCATAAAGAAGATATTACTTGTTTACAAGCTATCTACACCTAAACAACCAGGACCAGGAAGTCCATATAGACGAATGGCCAAAAAGCAACTCGTCTATATAGCCTTCTTTGCCCTTTGTTCAGATCATTGTTCTAACCTAATCATTGTTCTAATCTAACATTTTACGAACTAGCTTTTTATGTTATTTTTTTATTTTTCCTTTCAATACTAATTCATTTCCTTTTCTTTTTCCCTCTATTTCCAGTCAATGTCAAAGTTTTCACCGTGGCCACGGAGCGAACCGATGGCTTCTTGCGTTACATGCGTTCAGCCCAAGTCTATGATATTGAGGTAAGTCAACATAAAATATTCTAATTAGACATTATTAACACCTTTCTTTCCAATCAGCCCAGCCGGCTTTCATTCTATTCTCCTCTATTCTTCTTCTTCATCTTCAAACAATAAGAAGAAAAGTCCGTTAAAACTAGTTTAACCGAATGTGAAGCGTGAATATTAATGCATTTAGAGCACAGTGTTAATCTCGAAGACAATAGAGACAACAAACCGTATTCAATTCTATTGTTTAAACAATATTTTGAATGCTATTAACCATATTTTGAAAACAAAACAGGTTTAAGCATTTGACTAACAAAAAAATGATTTCTGATTTGAGCTGCATTAATAACTGATAATCATAGAAATTTGTGTTGATTTTGAACATTAATCAAATTGATTGATGTTCGTGAGTTTAGTCGAGCCGAGTCAGGCGGTAGCCGGCAAATATGTATGGAGAAGCCTATCGAGCAAATGCTGGGAAGTTACCGGTTTTTGTTAGTCTGCTATGGGAAGTGTGTGTTATGTTAGCTTTTTTGTTTTCTTACGTTATATGCGTAACTACTGGTGTAAACTTTAGATTTCATTTTGTTTTCTGGTGTCTTTCTTCAAAGGCAAGCAAAATCATCTGCTATTTGACATTTAAAAACATAAGCTGTTGCAAAAAAAAAAAGCCAAAACTCTCCTCCATGATAATGAAACCCATGAATATATTAAACTTGAATTGTGAACGTTGCTGGAATATTCAATGCGTTTTTATACCCTACACCACAAGGTGATATTTGTGATTTTGTTTGTAACAGGCAAAAGGAAACAAGTTAGACCCATAGTTTCTTTTGATGATCTGCATAGAATCACATTCTGAGTCGATTTATGCATGTCCATCCGTCTGTCTGCCCATGTATTTTTGTAAACAAAAAACAGGTCGCATTTATTGTCCGATCCAGATGAAATTTTGCACAAGTCGTTTATTTGGCCCAAGTACGAATCCTATAACCATTGGAGAAAATCGACTAAAAATTAGATATAGCTCCCATATATATATATTCGTCCGATTTGCTTTTTATTGTGCGCCAAGCATGTAATATTAGCCCAAATGGGATGAAATTTGGTACTTAGGACCAAATTGAGTCTAGAAACAAGTATGCCAAATTTGGTGAAAATCGGCTCAGATATAGCTATAGCTCTCATATATATTGTTCATCCGATTTTTTTATTTTTGTCGTCCGCAGGCGTAATATGCACTCTTTAAAAACGAAATTTGAGGAAATATATCAAATACAGCTCAGATATACCTTTGCTAAATTTTATCAAGATCGGTTCAGATTTGGATATAGCTCTCATATATATTTTCGTCCGATTTGCTTTTTATTGTGCGCCAAACATGTAATTTTAGCCCAAATGGGATGAAATTCGGTACTTACCACCAAATTGGTCATAGAAACCAGTATCTCAAATTTAGTGAAAATCGATTCAGATATAGTTATAGGTCCCATATATATTGTTCTTCCGATTTGTTATATTTGTTCTCCACAGCCGTATTATGCACTCCGTAACAACGATATTTGAGGAAATATATCAAATACAGCTCAGAAATACCTTTGCCAAATTTTATCAAGATCGGTTCATATTTGGATATAGCTCCCATATATATTTTCGTCCGATTTGCTTTTTATTGTGTACCAAACGTGTAATATTATCCCGAATGCGGTGGAATTTGGCACTTACCACCAAATTGGACATAGAAACCAGTATGTGAAATTTAGTGAAAATCGATTCAGATATAGCTATATGTCCCATATATATTGTTCATCCGATTTGTTATATTTGTTCTCCACAGCCGTATAATGCACTCCGTTACAACGCTATTCGGGGAAAGATATCAAATACAGCTCAGAAATACCTTTGCCAAATTTTATCGAGATCGGTTCAGATTTGGGTATAGCTCCCATATATATCTTTTTCCGACTTCAAGTTTATCGTACATCAAACGGGTAATATAAGCCCGAATTGAAAAGGTACAAATGTCTTGGCAAATTTAGTAGAAATCGATTTAGAAGAGGATATTCCCCTCATATATTATTTCTTTTTGACTTTAAATTATAACTATAATCATGGTTCGTATGATTTAATTCTCACAAATTCCTCATGAAAACTTTTATTTGTTATGTGATGTTCTACTAAATATGCAAATTGATGCAAAGTGGTGTAGGGTTTTGGTTTTAATGGCAGAGTTTCAAAATTGATAGAGTTTAAAGAATAAATTATAAATTTTAAGATTTAATTAGGGAATTTAAATCGTAATTAAGAAAATGCCCCCTTTGATAATTTGAGATAATAAAAAGGTCATTGTTTTCATTACAGTTTTCAAAAAAAAAAAAAACTTACAAAGAAATGTATTAAATTTCTGGTAAAGTGAGATCAAACCCCCTTCTCTTTCGATTTCCTTTCATCTTTGTGTGTCTCAAATTAATGCCTTGCTCTTATCAATTACATTTCAATATATTTATTTCCAATACAAATACATTTCAAATTATTATAAATAAAAAAAAATCGAGTCAGCAAATGCATTTAACCAATAAAAAATAAGCTGTTCTGCCAGCCCAGCCAATTTCCAAAAGCAACTGCTTTCAAATTTATTGTCGTTCATTAAATTGGTGGGGGCAGTAAAAAAAAAAAAAATAGCCAGTCATTTTGAAATGTCAATGTTATAGATTAGAGATTTTATGGTAATGGATAATCGAAGCTTTTCTAAAATAACCAAATGGTAAGCTAGGAAGTCAATATGACTTGTTTTCCGTTTGTCTATAGATGCATGCAATTCGCAGATATTAATTTCAAATAAGTTTGTTTTTAAGGATTCCCTTTAAAATTATCCATAGTTTAGGTTAGGTTAAAGGACGTGCGGTTGCCATTTGATAATCGCTCCATTTGGAGCCATTTGGACCTGCTGGTCCATTGTGTTCATCCCAAATGAAGAGAGTAGAAAGAAAGAAAGATTGGTGAAAAAGGTGGAGAAGTTATTAATAGGAATTACAGTTATAAGGGTAAGCAACGGCTATACATTTTGCCGTCTCGTCTTTAGTCACTTAAGTCTTCTTTCTAATTGAAGAATTACTGTAGGGTCAGTGTTAGAGATCGAAGAAAAGTCCCTCCGCACTAATCTGTGTCTCACGGTAATAAGTGCTGGACAATGGCAGAGCAAATGTTCGATCGTCTCAATTTCTTCCTCGTCTTGTCAGTTGCAATATCATTGCTGCTCCATTTCGAGGTCATTGCCCTCATCTTGCAGTGGCCTGTGATAATGACCACCACAAGTCAAAATTATCCATAAAAATAGCTTCAACTCGCCCAAACACTTCCCTCCTTCCAAGTCGTCTTTTCAACGCGTGTTTTTAACTTTTGATCAGACAAGTTAAAAAGGTATCAGTCGGTTTTGCCGGCACATATATAGCCTCAGCCAATGCCGGTTTATTAAAAAAATAAATATTTCGACTTGTTTATTATGATTATTCAAAATGTTGATCCTTTTTGGAGAGGAGAGATACTGAAGGATTGGACCTATATTTTCCTCTTCTCATCTGACAGCTCTGATATACAATGTTCCAGTTTTTGACTACATTGACTACTTCCTTCACTTTATATGAGATGTGTTGTGTTTTTTTTTTTTTTTTGGAAAATTTTGACTTTTTGGGAGGAAGACACCAGGACACCATGGTTGATAGAGATATTGACATACAAGAAGTTTGAGGAAAATCGCTGACTTGCTTCGCAATTTATTCAAAAAATTTATACCACTTGTTGGCAAGGTATCAGAAGGAGTGGGGCAAAATACTCCAAATTCACATCAGATCTTGAGTTTGTTGAGATATTTGGGTGAGCCCAGTTTAAAAATATTCAGATGATTGGTTTGCTTTTCAAAGAGTTTGATTATTATTTCTCCTTTTGACCTTTTTTGGGAAGAAGATACCAGAAAGAGTGTTCTGATTTATCGCATCTTTATACACGACCTAGAGTTGGTAGAAATATTGGGATATAAGAAATTTGAAGACAATTAAACTAACCTCTTGGTTGGGAGGTTCTAGAAGCAGTGGACCGATATTGTCCATTTTTATACCCTACCCTCCATGCATAGTACAATAAGGAGGTAGAATAGCTTCGTAAAACTTTAGAAATACAGCCCTGAGGCTATGTCCGCTTCCTGTCAAATTTGAAATACCTGGATTTTCTTTCAAAAATATGATCTAAACAGTTCTATCTTTAAATTCCATGGCAATGCTGGCGAATAGCTTTAAAGCTCGTCTTGCAATTTACGCGTCTTCCAATCATTGATTTTGAAAATATTCTGTTTTTTTTTTCAAAACAATAAATACATACACAAAATAGGCAGAAGTCAGGCACACTTAGAAAAAAAATGTATTCAGGTGTTAGCTCTACCTTACCTTTTTATTGTACCATGGGTGCATGTCTTCGTATAGCCCCCATATAAAGGCAGCCCCCAATATTCGGTATTTTGATGATTTTAGCGACATTATTCACGCGAACTGTTTCAAATTTAGTATTAGAAGACCTTAATGGATCTCACAGCCTATGCCTAAAAATTTTGTATGCAGGTCCAAGTCTTCGTATAGCCCCCCATATAACGGTATCTCTCTTTATTCGGTATTTTGATGATTTTAGCAACTTAATTCGCCCGAATTGTTTCAAATTTCGTATTCGAAGGTTATAATGGGTAGTACAGTCTATACCCAAAAATTTCGTTTGCAGGTCCACGTCTTCGTGCAGCCCCCATATAACTGTAACTCCCGATATTTTGACCCTTTGTGGGGGAGGTACCACAGGGAGTGGACCAATATATCCCATCTTCACACCAGACCTAGGGTTAATAAAAATATTGTGATATATGTAATTTGAAGAAAACCGGAAGCTTATTTTAGATTTTATGAACGTTTTGATTATTATAAATTTTGACCTTTTGTGGGAGGTGGTACCAGAGGAAATGGTTGGATCTCTACCATGTTTAAAATAGATCTTAAGTTGACAGAAATATTCAGAGGTGCCAAGTCTAAGTGGAATGGGATATTAATTTCGTGTTTTATGAGCTTCATGAATATTTACAATTTTGACCCTTTGTGTGGGAGGTACCAGAAGGAGTGGACCGATATGTTACATCTTCACACCAGACCTTTGATTGATAAAAATAATGTAATTTGTGTAATTTGAAGAGTTGGATACCTACATCACATTTTATAAGATTTATAATTATTTAAAATTTTGACTTGATGGAGTCGACGGATATTCTCCATTTTCACACCTGACCTAGCACTGATGCATATATTAGGATTTGCAAAGTTGGAGCAAAATTGGATTATTCTTTCTCTTTCTGTGCAGTAAATTAATTTCTTTGAAAATGTTGACATTTTGTGGGGGAGGTACCAGAAGGAGTGGACCGATATTACGCATCTATGAACTCGATCTTGAGTTTGACAATACTATTACGATGTACCAAGTTTGGATCAAATCGGATACTCTCTTCCAATGTTATTGTGCGCACCATCCATAAAGACGGACGTACGGACTTTCGCTAGATTCCAAATGCCCTGAAACGGATTTGGTATAAAGAGACCTAGGGTCTAAAACCGTTATTTCGATGAGGCACGTTTTGGCCGTATCAAATGATATATATCCTCTCTAGCCATATGGCTGAGGTTATAAAAATCGGATGAACAATATATAGCAATGTGGGAGCTATAGCTATATCTGAACCGATTTTCAACAAATTTGAGATATTTGTTCCTATGCCCAATTAGGTAGTAAATATCAAATTCCATCCCATTTGGGCTAATATTAAACGTTTGGTGCACAATAAAAGGCAAAAGCGGACGAAGATATATATGGGAGCTACATTCAAATCTGAACCGACCTTGACTTATTTCTGAGCTGTGTCTGGCATCTGTTACCAAATATCATTGTTTTTCACTGCATATTACGAATGTGATGGACTTAAACCACAAAATCGGATGGAAAGTATACGCGGGAGCTATAGCTATAACTGAACCTATTTTCACCAAATTTGATGTACTTGCTTCTAGACTGAATTCGGTTGAATTGGGCCGAAATTCAGGTTATTTGGACTAATATTGGCCATTTGTTGCACAATTTAACCGAAATCGGTTGAAGATATATGGGAGCTAAATCTGATCCGATTATCACCAATTTCAATAGGGTTCGTCCTTGGGCCAAAAAAAATATTGTTTGGTAAATTTCATCTCAAGCGGATAATAAATGAGACCTGTACTTTTTTTACAAAAATACATGGACTGACAGACGGACGGGCGGACATGCATAAATCGACTCAGAATGTGATTCTATGCAGATCATCGAAAGGAACTATGGGTCTATCTGCTAAGGGTATTATGTCTTATATGTCTGCCATAATACCCTGACCACCTTGTGGTGTAGGCTATAAAAAATGATTTGTCAAAAAAATTTTGAATTTTTATGAAAAGAGATTTAAACTCAATTTTAATATTTTAATGCCTTTTTATTCTTTTAAGAAAAAATGTAAATATTTGAGTTCAAAGACCCAAAATCTCAACAATATCAAAGATTTTCTATTGCATCCGGTTTCGGTTTATGATGTAGCCCTAGTAATTTATTGTGAAAACTAATCAGAATGCCTTCTACATGCTATTGTTCTTAACGACAGCACAGCTATCAACTGGTTTATGTTCCTCTATGGAACTTTGTTTTTTTATTATTTTTCCAATTCCAACACATGTTCAATATATTTCCATAACAATTGCTGGTTCTTGAATTTTTTTTCTCTTTGAAATGAAAAAAATCTCCTCTAAAACCACATCATCTTTTAGTTTTCTTATGGTTGGTTGGTTGGATGCAGTTGCTTACACGTCTGTCATAGTGTGATGATGTTCCAGATTTTTCTTAATTTCTTTTCATTTTCTTTTCTTTCAATGCGTTTTGTTTATATTGAAAAAAAAAAAGAAACAAGAATATATGAAGAATGATGTGGCCTATGTGTGTTTCAAATGCTGTGCGTCTGGCGGCGTTTCTCAAATCACGTAGCCTGCCTGGAAATAGAGATTTGTTTCTTATTGGAAACTGATAAAAACAATGGAAATGTGAATGAATAGTTCTATGAGTCTATGTCTGTGTGACCGAAGCGGGCTTAATGACCCAGAATCAAAACGCCGGTTTATCAGTTGAGATGACAACTCATAGTTTTGCTTTTTTCATAAGGCTTGGCTGATTGGTGACCCCCTTCTCTGTGGGGTTAGTTTTAAGAGATAAGGAAATTCTATTCCCATTATCTTTGAATTCCAAAAAATAATATAGTTTTATTTTTATTATATTTAACACTGATAAATAAATTTTATTATTAATTGTTTTTTTTTTTTCGATTATCTATTTTAGGTCACTGCCTTGGGTCTGGATCAGGAATGGAAGGGTGGTGATATGTCAAGTGTTGGTGGCGGTTTTAAAGTCAATCTATTGAGAGAAGCCGTCAAACCATTGAAAGATGAAAAGGATACACTCATTATGTTTACAGATAGGTAAGACCTGCTCTTTCATTATACCCTCAGCCATATGGCTGGTTATACCCTCAGCCATATGGCTAGTTATACCCTTAGCCATATGGCCAGTTATACCCTCATTCATATGGCTAGAGAGAGGGTATATATCATTTGATAGGCCAAAATGTGCATCATCAAAATAACGGTTTTAGATCCTAGGTCTCATTGGACCAATCATTTTATACGGCCAAAAAGTGGCTCATCGAAATAACGCTTTTAGACAATAGGTCTCTTTGGACCAAATTCGTTTCAAGACATTTGGAGTTGATCTAGCGATGTCCGTCCGTCCATCCGTCTGTCTGTCTGGATGATGCACACCATAACTCTCAAAGGGAGTATCCGATTCGACCCAAACTTGCTACATCGTAATATTATTGTCAAACTTAGATCGACTGCGGATATGGGCAATATCGGTCTACTCCTTCTAGTACCACCCCCTCCCCCAATCAAAATGCTCATTAAAATGTGAAATAAACATTCAACTCTCTTGAAATTTCACATATCACAATATTTTTATTGTTACAAGATCTGGTGTAAAGGTGGAACATCTTGAACCACTCCTTCTGGTATCCCTCATACATAGGGGTCAAAATTTGGAATAACCAGGAGGCACATAAAATATTGAATTAAACATTCGAATCTCTCCAAATTCCACACATCCTAATATTTTTATATATACAAGTTCTGGTGAAATGATGGGCTATATCAGTCCACTCCTTCTGGTACCTCCCCCACAAAATGTCAACATTTTCCAAGAAAATAATTTACTGCACAGAAAGAAAAAGGATAATCCGATTTCGCTCCAACTTTGCGAAACTTAATATTTGCATCAGTGCTAGGTCAAGTGTGGAAATGGACAATGTCGGTCCACTCCATCAAGTACCTCCCCACAAACGGTCAAAATTTTGAATAATTATAACTCTTATAAAATGTGATGTATGAGTCCGATTGTCTTCAATTAACACAAATCACAAGATTTTTATTAACCCAAGGTCTGGTGTGAAGATGGAAGGTATCGGTTCACTCCTTCTGGTACGTCCCCCACAAAGGGTCAAAATTTTGAATATTCATGAAGCTTATAATACACGAAATTAACATCCGATTCCATTCAGCCTTCGCACATCTCAATATTTCCATCAACACAAGATTTGTTATAAAGATGGTAGAGATTGGACCATTCCTTCTGGTACCTCCTCCACATAGGGTTCAAGATTCTGAATAACCCAAACGATTATAAAATCCGAAATAAGCAACCGGTTCTCTTCAAATGACACACATCACAAGATTTTTATTAACCCAATATCTGGTGTGAAGATGGTAGAGATCGGACCATTCCTTCTGGTACCTCCCACACAAAAGGGTCAAAATTTTGAATATTCATGAAGCTCATAAAACATGTAATTAACATCCGATTCCATTCAAAATTGGTATATATACAAATTTCCATCAACACAAGATCTGCTATAAAGATGGTAGAGATCGGACCGTTTCTTCTGGTACCTCCCCCACAAAGGGTCAAAATTTTGAATATCCATTAAGCTCATAAAACGTGAAATTTATGTCCGATTCCATTCAGACTTGGTACATCTCAATATTTCCATCAACACAAGATCTGCTATAAAGATGGTAGAGATCGGAAATTTCCTTCTGGTACCTCCCCCACAAAGGGTCAAAATGTTGAATATTCATGAAGCTCATAAAACACGAAATTAACATCCGATTCCATTCAAACTTGGTACAGCTCAATATTTCCATCAACACAAGATCTGCGATAAAGATGATAGAGATCGGACCTTTTCTTCTGGTACCTCTCCTACACGGGGTTCAAGATTTTGAATATTCATGAAGCTCATAAAACACGAAATTAACATCCGATTCCATTCAAACTTGGCACATCTCAATATTTCCATCAACACAAGATCTGCTATAAAGATGGTAGAGATCGGAAATTTCCTTCTGGTACCTCCCCCATTAAAGGGTCAAAATTTTGAATATTTATGAAGCTCGTAAAACGCGAAAATATCGTCCGATTCCATTCAGACTTGGCACATCTCAATATTTCCATCAACACAAGATCTGCTATAAAGATGGTAGAGATCGGACCGTTTCTTCTGGTACCTCTCCCACGCGGGGTTCAAGATTTTGTAAAACATAACGCTCAAAGAAAGCGAAAAAAACCCTCCAACTCTCTTTATATTTCACACATCCAAATATTTTTGCTAATGCAATATCTGCCAACACCTGCTGGTACCTCACCCGCCCAGAGTGACAATTTCTGTCATAACATCTGTCGGCAAAACCGACTGACACTATTTTACTTGTTTTTCTTTTACCATTTTTTTATTAATTTCCCTTTTGTGTTTTTATTTTCAGCTATGATGTTGTCTTCACCTCCCGCCTAACGGAAATTGTGAAAAAATTCAAAGAGACCGGTGCCCGAGTCTTATTCTCAGCCGAAAAGTTTTGCTGGCCTGATGTAAAGTTGGCCTCAAAATATCCCACTGTCGAACCCAAAGCCTCAAGATATTTAAATTCTGGTGCTTTCATTGGTTATGCTCCCGAAATATGGCAATTGTTGCAACCCAGCATTGAAAACTTAGAAGATGATCAGCTGTATTACACCAAATCGTATCTCAATGAAGAATTGCGGGAGAAGTTGGGCATGAAATTGGATGTGGAGTCTCATATCTTCCAAAATCTAAATGGGGCCAAGGATGATGTAAAATTGGATGTAGATTTGGATACCAATCGTGGTACCTTGAAGAATATCAATTTCCTTACCACACCCAGTGTGATACATGGCAATGGTCCTAGCAAAGTGGAATTGAATGCCTTTGCCAATTATTTGGCCAACACCTACAATCACAAGTGTTTGATATGTCAGGAGAATCGTTTGAAATTGGATGTAAGTCGTACTCCACGTTGAGGAAGATCTGTTTAAAAATAATTTTATTTTCTTTTTTCAGGAAAAGAACTTACCCATTGTCACCTTGGCTTTGATTGGCATCACACCCGTGCCTTTCTTTGATATGTTCCTGAATCACACCGCTTATATTCACTATCCTAAAAATCGCATGCATTTGTTCATCTACAGCGGTGTGGAGTATTTGGATGCCATGGCCAAATCCCATTTGAAGAAATATGAAGAGGAATATTTGTCGGCTAAAATTGTTCTATCCACCGATCAGTTCGATGAAAGAAGGGCTCGTCAATTGGCTGTGTAAGTATTGAGAATTATTTTGAATTAGAAAAAATGGAACTGAAATCTTTATAGGCAAAATAGAAGAGAAAATTGGAAGGACTTGGGGAATGTTATAAATAGAGTATTTATAAGAGAACAGAAAGGAATCTAAAAAATAACAGGAAACAGAGTCTACAATAATCAAGAAGAAGAGCCAGGGTAAAGATAGTTTTATGTAGAAAAGGGAGAGGACATTTAAAATGGAAATCCACGCGAAGAGAAGCTTAAGGATAAGGAGTCTATATATAACAAAATTGAAGCTCCAAGAAGTCTACATAGACAAAATGAGGGAGCTTAGACAAACGGTTGGACCATGAAATCTATCGTAGAAAAGGTTGTGGGCCAAAGAGTGTACAGCATGTAAGCTGGCAGCCATGGAATCTATTATGGGCAAGTTGGTCACCTACAGAGTCGAAATCAAATCATCAAAATATCGAATATCGGGAGGTACCATTATATGGGGGCTATACGAAGGCGTGGACCTACAAGGATATTTTTTTGTTATAGGCTGTATTATCCATTGCGAACTTCAAATACCAAATTTGAAACAATTACGGTGAATAATGTCGCTAACATCATTAAAATACCGAATATCGGGAGGTACCGTAATATGGGTGCTATACGAAAACATGGACCTTCACATACAATTTTCTGTAACATGCTTTAGTATCAATTCCGAACTTCAAATACCAAATTTGAAACATTTCTGGCGAATAATGTCGCTAAAATCATCAAAATACCGAATATCGGGAGGTACCATTATATGGGGGCTATGTCAAAACGTGGACCTATATGGCCCATTTTCAATACCAAAAGTCCTGCAGACATAATATACATTTTAGTAAAATTTTATCAACCTACTTCATTTCGTTCGATAGCTAGAGTATTTTCCACAGACGGGCGGACATCGCTAAATTGACAAAGCATTTTATGCTGATCAAGAATATAAACACTTTGTGGGGTCTAAAATGTATATTTCGAGGTGTTACAAACGGAATGACAAACTTGATATACCCTCCATACTATGGTGGAGGGTATAAAAAGGGCGCGTTACATAGGGTCAGGGAGTCTATTAATCTTAGGGCTATGTTACAGGGATCAAAAAATATTTTCCTTAAATTTCCATATTTTTCAAGAATTCAAAAAAATTATAAATTATTTTTCAAGTATTTAAAAATTTTATAAAAGATCGGAGATTATAGGTGGGTTAACAATTAATATGTGATGTGTTTTTGTTTTTTGTGTTTTTTTTTCCAAAACTCAAATTTCCAATAAAAAACTATTTTAATTTCTTTTTTTAATTTTCAAAATTTTCTTTTATTACAGGCAACAAGCCAAACAAAAGAAAAGTGATTATATTTTCTTCATTGATGCCGATACTCATGTCGATGATAAGGAACTATTGCGGGAATTGATGACTTATGATCGGTGAGTTTCTAAAATTGTCATTTGTTATTGTAAAATATTAATTAAATTTATGTTTTTTTTTCGTAGGCAATTCATTGCACCCGTTGTTGCCAAATACAATGAACTGTGGAGTAATTTCTGGGGTGCCCTATCCGAAGGTGGCTACTATGCTCGCTCTCCCGATTATGTGGACATTGTGAGGGGTGATATTCTGTGAGTATTTAAAAATTTCAAAATTGTTTGTATGTCTTTTATAAAAAAAATTCACGACTGTGGTGTATCTTTAAAAATATGAAAAAAATCATTTGTTTTTTAAAAAATTTTAAAAAAGAATTTTTAAAAAAAATAATTTTTTTTTAAATTTTAAACAATAATTTTAAAAAAAAATTAATTTTTTAAAAAAAAATTAATTTTTTTTAAATTTTAAAAAAATTTTTTAAAAAATTAATTTTTTTTTAAATTTAAAAAAATAATTTTAAAAAATAATTTAAAAAACCCCACGACTCTAATATCTCCTTAAAAATATTTTTAAAAAACCACGACTGTGATATCTCCTTAAAAATATTTTTAAAAAATCCACGATTATGGTGTATCTTTAAAAAATATTTTTAAAAAATCCACGACTGTGGTGTGTCTTTCAAAATTATTTTTAAAAAATTCACGACTGTGATGATTTTTTTTTAATTATTTTTAAAAAATCCACGACTGTGGTGTGTCTTTCAAAATTATTTTTAAAAAATTCACGACTGTGATGTTTTTTTTTTAATTATTTTTAAAAAATCCACGACTGTGGTGAGTCTTTCAAAATTATTTTTAAAAAATTCACGACTGTGATGTTTTTTTTTTAATTATTTTTAAAAAATCCACGACTGTGGTGTATCTTTTTAAAATTATTTTTAAAAAATCTTTAAAATTATATTTAAAAAAATCCACGACTGTGGCGTAACTTTTTAAAATTATTTTTAAAAAATCCACAACTGTGGTGTATCTTTTTAAAATTATTTTTAAAAAATCCACAACTGTGGTGTATCTTTTCTAAACTATTTTTAAAAAATCCACGACTGGGGTGTATCTTTTTAAAATTATTTTTAAAAAATCCACGACTGTGGTGTATCTTTAAAAATTATTTTTTAAAAATCCACGGCTGTGGTGTATTTTTAAAAATTATTTTTAAAAAATCCACGACTGTGGTGTTTCTTTAAAAATTATTTTTAAAAAATCCACGAATGTGGTGTTTCTTTAAAAATTATTTTTAAAAAATCCACGACTGTGGTGTATCTTTAAAAATATTTTTAAAAATCCACACCTGCGGTGAATCTTTTTAAAATTATTTTTAAAAAATTCACATCTGTGGTGTATCTTTTTAAAATTATTTTTAAAAAATCCAGGACTCTGGTATCTCTCTAAAAATAATTTAAAAAAAATTCACAACTCTAATATCTGTCTAAAAATTATTTTGAAAAAAAAAAATCAAGACTGTGATATCTTTTGAAAAATCATTTTTCAAAAGCCACGACTCTGATATACAGGGTGAGATAAAAAAACAGCAACAAAGTCAAAAGCCACAATGCATTTTTGCATTTTATTGAATGAAAGCAAAAAATGTCGGAAATAGCAATTAGTCACCTTTGGCACGAATTATAGCCTTCAAACGGCCAATGAAACCGCACACGCTGCCCGAATGTTGCTCTACGGTATTTTGGCCCATTCCCGGCGGAGCGTTTGCTTAAGGTGATTAACCCTTTGGTATTTTTTAGTGCCAACGTTGCTTTTCAAAATACTCCAGACACAATAGTCCAACGGATTGGTAGCCGGAGTTTTTGGTGGCCACTGTGCGCTGGAAATGAAGCGAGGAACCTCACGAGGTTGCAGTTTTTTTTAATATTTTTTTAATAATTATTTTTAAAAACTCCGCGACTATGGTCCCTGATAACTCTTCACAAAAAGGCTTTTAAAAATCCCCGACCCTAACATATTATCGTATCGACCTGTGTTTATCTCTGACATTTCCACTCTCCCCCATTTCTCCCCTTTCACCTCCGAATTTTAATTAAATAATTCCACCTGTAATTTTTTAATTTGAGACAGGTGGTCTCGCAGCTTAACCCAAACCATTCACATGTCATCACTTAAATTATCTCCAAGCATTTTCTTGACTATCAACAGCTTGGATGCGGTATCTTTTGTGCAATTTCCTCTTTCGTTAATCGGTGCGGTTTATTTTTAAATTATTTTGAGAGCCCTCAAAGCGTTTCCATGGTGGTTGTTTGCATAATTTCTCTTCAGTTTTTTTTTTCAATTTTTTTTTTTTTTGTAGAAAATTTTCAATTTATTTATTTTATTTTTTTTTTACAAAAAAGAGACCCAAAAGAATAGTAGCTTATTCCCATGTACAAAAACCATTTAAACTTTGGACAAATTAAGGTGATATGTTTTGATAAATTAAAAGCTTAAAACTAACTCTTTTCAATGATACAAAAAGAAAAAAAAACAAATCGGACACACAAGCAAACACCCATTGTGGGGCCAGTGTTCAAAGCTGTGATGTTGTGTCTGTTCCCTCTCAATATGAAAATTGCCTGGCCTGGGGGGTTATTTTGCGGTTCGTTCATTCTCTTATTATTTGGTGGGGTTATTGTGAGCAAAGGCAACAAAACAAAAATGTAACATTCTCTTCGAAAAATATGGCCATTCCGGGGTTTAATCGAAAGCAATTGAAAAATCTGTTTTAAAACTACGACGATCAATGGAATACATGTTGTCGGCGGTACACTCATAAAGGCCAGCATCCATTTGGGTGGCTGGATCAATTTCAATTTTCGATTTAACACGATCCTCGCCAATGCGCCATTCATGGACCTAAAAACAAATCAAATGAAAATTATTTTTTAAAAAATTTTCTCAAATCTCTCATCGCCTTACATGCATGTAGAGATGCTGGAATATTTCGGTACCATCCTTGTACCAGGTGATCTGAGGTCTGGGATTGCCCTTGGCCACACACAGAAAGGCTATTTTGTGGCCCAAAACATATTCATAATCAAAGTGAGAGGCCTGCAAAATTTTGGCTCCCTAAAAGTAGGCTTTAGTTTTTGTTTTTCTCAAATTTCGTGGCTTGATACATGACTTACATTATTGTTATTGTAGTATTGATCGGATTCAGGATCTCTGTATTTTCCCGTTATGGGTAAACCAATTTGTACCCTTGATTTGGTACGGCCTCTGCCACGGCCACGTCGTCCCTCCGTTATGGGACTGGTCAAGATCAATATGCACAGACACAGTAGCACCACTTTCAAATACATTTCTCTTTCTTTCCCCAAATTATTTTTATAACTTTTTTTCAATTTCTATTTAAAAATTTCTTCTTCTCTTTTGCTGCGAAATTCGTAAATTTATAATTTGAGTGCCAACACGTTCCTCTTTGTGATCTACACTCTGGTGATGGAGGGCCAACTGCTCAGATTTTGCCGACTTTTACTTATTCTTGTTTTGAACTGTTGGATTTCCTTTTTGCAACTGAACATTTGATGGCAAATCTAGCCCATGATCTACCCGAAAAAGCTAAACATCCATGGAGGTTTCGATGTTTTGTCACTCAGATTGTGTTTCTCACCCCAAGTCGTCATGAGCAACATTGCAGCATTAACTCAAGCTCTTTGGGGCATGTGATGTTGAGCTAAATTTCAAATTGTTCCTTTTTCTCTCTCTCTATCCCTCTCTTTAGATTAATATGGAATAATAAATAACTCACATGAGAAATTTAACTCTTTCCCTAGCTCATAAAAAACCCGGTATTAAATATCTACTACATATGTATGGTGGCTCCCATTAGTCTGGACAGTTTTTTTTTCTCTTGGGGAACACCAGACAATTTTGTAGAACATTGTGGATGGAGAGGGGGGAAAAGGAATTGTGTGGGATTCATTTGGGGATTTTTCCAGAATTCAAAAATGATTGCACACAGATTTAAATTTGGACTTTGATTTCACATTTTTACCCCTTAATTGCATTTATTTAAAGTGTTATACTACAAAAAAGTTATGGGAAAATTTGTGCGCTCTATGAGTTATTATAGAAAATAAAACTAAAAATAATTTTTTGGATTTTTAACTGTTATACAAAAAATTTTAAACTGTTATTCTACAATATTTTTTCTCAAATTGCATATTTTCAGTCTTCAAATAACAAATAGAGGTGTTTTAAGCCAATTTTCTTAAAATTTGAAACTGTTATACTGGATCAAAAAAAACTGTTATACACTCAAAAATACCTTAAAATTTCAGTTAAATTCCATAGAATTAAGAATTTGAGTTTTGTATATGAAAGAGAAATCATGCAAAATATCAGGGGATTTTTTCCAGAATTCATTAGTGGTTGCACACAGATTTAAATTGGATTGGACTCTGATTTCACTCTGATTTAGCCCATTATTGCATTTATTAAAAGCGTTATACTACAAAAAATTATTGGAAAATTTGTGTACCATATGTTAATTTGATGGAAATGGAAATAAAAACAATTTTTTGGATTTTTTAAACTGTTATACAGAAAATGTTAAACTGTTATACTACAATATTCTTACTGAAATGCATATTTTCAGTCTTCAAATAAAAATCAGTGGTGTTTTGAGCCTATTTTCTTCAAGTTTGAAACTGTTATACTGGTTCAAAAAACTGTTATACACACAAAAATTCCTTAAAATTTCAGTTTGCATAGAATTAACATGGAGGAAAGAGGGACAGAGAAATTATGCAAAATGTGTGTGGGATTCATTTGGGGATTTTTCCAGAATTCATAAATGGTTTAAAATTTGGACTTTGATTTCACACTTTTAGCCCATTATTGTATTTATTAAAAGTGTTATACTACAAAAAAAAAAAAAAAAAATTATGATGGTAACGTTTGTGTACCCCATGTGATCTTGAAGGAAATATAACTTAAAAATAATTTCTTGGATTTTTTTTTAAACTGTTATACAAAATTTTTTAAACTGTTATACTACAATATTCATGCATTTTCATCATAAATGCACATTTTCAGCCTTTAAATAAAAATCAGAGGTGTTTTAAGTCAATTTTCATCGAACTTGAATCTGTTATACTGGTTCAAAAAAAATGCATTAAAATTGCATTTGAATTGCAGAAAAGTAATAATTTGACTATTATAATGTGGAAAAGTGGGAAAATATGTTTCAAACTATTCATTTGCAACTGTTATACATGAACGTTAAAACTGTTATACGGCAAGATTTACTTAGAAATGCAAAATTTTTTCTTGAAATGCAAATAATATGATTTTTTAGGGCATTTCTCTTTTAATATGTAACTGTCATACTGTTATAAACAACTGTTATATGCAGCAAATTTGTTGAAATGTTGTTTTAGGCATTTTCTTACAGCGAAATTCTCATCAAAATGCATTCCTTTAGTCTTCAAATGAAAATGATTTTTTTTGCTTAAATTTGAAATTGTTATACTGTTATACGCTAAAAATATGTTGAAATTAGATATTAATAAAGAAGGAATAACAATTCTTCTGAAAAAAAATCATTCAAAAAATATGTTTCAATATATTTATCTGCAACTGTTATACATAAAATTTAAAACTGTTATACGGCAATATTTACTTAGAAATGCATTATTTTTGTCTTAAAATGCAAATAACATGATTTTAGGACATTTTTCTTTTCGTATGTAACTGTCATACTGTTATAAATAACTGTTATATGCAGAAAATTCGTTAAAATAGGAGGTTTGCAGCGAAATTCTCATGAAAATGCATTCCTTCAGTCTTCAAATGAAAATTAAAAGTGGTTGAGATCATTTTTTTTTTAAAGTTGAAACTGTTATACATATATAGCAAACTGTTATATGCAGCAAATACTTTAATTATGTAGGAATAACAATTAAAAAAAAAACATTTTTTTTAATATTTTATAACTGTTATACAAAAAATTGTCAACTGTTATACTACAAGATTAACTAAGAAATGTATTCTTTTCTTTTTTAAATGGATATTTATGGACAATTTTCTCCAAAATTGTAACAAACTTTCATACACACTAAACGTGATAAAATTTGATTCAATCTATCATGAAATATTATATTTTGATTTATTAGAAGAAAATTGCGGAAATGTATGAAGAAAACATAATTTATAAATATTTATTTGCAACTGTTATAAAAACGTTTTTAAACTGTTATACACAGAATTCACACAGAAATGTAATGTTTCACTCTTTAATTAAAAATATAAGCTTTATAGTAAATTTTCTTAATTATTTTTAGACTGTTATACTGATATTAGAAACTGTTGTACAAAACAAATGCAATGAAATTTGAAATAGAAAATATAAAATATAGTTTGATAATTTGAAAAAATGTTCATATATTTTTCGGTTTTTGGAACAGTAATCCAAAATTCCTGAACTGTTATACAACTTTATTCACACAAAGCTTTTTTACTTGTTCTGAGTACCTAGAGTTGAAAGCAAAATCACTATGGTTGGTTTTTCTAACTGCTATACAGAAAGTTAAACTGTTATACAACATAATTGACTCAGAATTGTGAAATTTAAGAGCGTAAGGTTGTTTGAAATTCTTCGTACAACAAATAATACTTTTCGAAGCATTTTTTGCAAAGTTTTTCCTTCAAAATAAAACTGTTATACAACAAAATTCACACAGAAATGCATTCTTTTAGAAATTTATTCTTTTTTAGAATTCTTAGGAAATGCACTCTCCACATTTTTATGAGAAAAATGTCATTTCGAAAACATTTTTTGACATATTTTCAAACTGTTATACAATTTATTTAAAGTAGTATACAAGTTATTTTTTTCAGATTTTTTATATATTTGAAATTTTTTGAAAAACATAAGGTTTCTACACATTTTCCGCTCATTTTAAAAACTGTTATACTACATTAGCAAACTGTTATACTAATTTGTTTTCTGTTAATGGATTTTCTGCAGTTCGGAGAACAATAACACAACGCTTTAATAAATTTCTATGTGCCCAAAAACTGTTATACTGCAGTTTTTAAGTGTTATACTAATTTTTTTACAAAGACGTTGGGTACCAATGTGTGATTCTATCTCATGAGTATAAATATTCTTCGAGAATAAACAAGAGCCCTATAAAAATCATATAAAAACGTTATTCAAAACTGTTATACTGTTACAACAAACTGTTATACTTGATGTTATGTTGGGAAATTTCGCGTTCTGGACTTAGTTATTGTGTTAGCATTGTAAAACTGTTATACTGTACGATGAAACTGTTATACTAGAATTTTTCCTTGGAAAAATAAATAAATTCGAAGAGGAAAAAATCCATTATTAAAAACCTGATTTAGAAAAACCCTATTCAGTATGAATTCAAATGATGTGGGCTATGTTGTGTCCATATCTGCTGCGCAGTATTTGCTGCAAATGTCGCATTTAGGCTTTTTAAACTCTTACTTTTTTCCCACACACACATAAACTATCTGTCTCTTCGGTCTTTGCACTCTTTCGAATGCCGTATTTATTTGTTTGTTTGTCTCATAGTTCTCAAATTTAAATTAAATAATTGAGGTAATCTTTTCGTTACAAAATAATAATAATAACAACAACCACAACAGAGACTTGCAAAAGGCACAATCTCATCCAAATGATGGTGGGTGGCGGGCATGCATGCATGTAGCAGCTTTTGATTGATGAAATTCCAGAAAATACGGTATTTGTCCCCACAATGGCGCCCAATGCAATGAAAATAATACATTTTCTCACCTTTCCCTAAAAACATTTAAATAATAAATTCTAATTCAATGAATCAGAAAAAAAAACGTGGCTTGATAGTTGTAATTCGATTTCTTTAGAATTTTCTACATTTTAATTTTTTATTTTATTAAGTTTTTGCTTTGTATACAAAATGTAAAAAAATAATAAAAGATTTTTTTTTTCAAAAATTCACCATCACATAGTCCGTTCGAAAGCCGCGTCGATCTATAGCATAAATATTGTCGGCCTGACATTCATAGTATCCTGTTGATTGGAGGAAAGAAGATTATTCCCTTAAGGATTTATTGAGGTTATGGTCATCATCATACTTACCGGCATCCATTTGTGTTGTGGGATCAATTTCCATTTTCGATTTGATGATGTTGTTGTCAATATGGGCCTCGTGGACCTGGAAATTATAATAGATACTCCCGTTAGATCGATAAAGAGGTTATTTTAATGAAATAAATGCTATCTATGTTAAATGCCGAACATTAATGAAACATATACGTTATTTTTCTAAAGTAGATACATTATTTACGAAATTTTTATAACATAGATACTTTATCTAAGGGATTTTCATGACGTAGATGCATTATCTATGTCATTTTAATGACAAAGATACCTTATCTGCCTCATTTTCATGATATAGATACATTATCTACCTCATTTTCATGATTTAGATACATTTTCCTCCCTATTTTTGTGACGTAGATACATTATCTACCTCATTTTCATGACGTAGATACATCATCTACCTCATTTCATAACGTAGATACATTATCTACATCATTTTTATGACGCAGATACATTATCTACATCATTTTCATGACGTAGACACATTATCTACAACATTTTCATGAAGTAGATACTTTTTCTTCATTATTTTCATGACAAGATACATTATCTACATCATTTCCATGACGTAGATACATCATCTACCTCATTTTCATGACGTAGATACATCATCTAACACATTTTTATGACGTAGACACATTATCTACATTATTTTCATGACGTAGATACATTATCTACATCATTTTCATGACGGAGATACATCATCTACCTCATTTTTATGGCGTAGATACTTTTTCTTCCCTATTTTCATTGCGTAGATACATTATCTACATCATTTTAATGATGCAGCTACATTATCTACATCATTTTCATGACGTAGATACATAACCTACCTCATTTTCATGATGTAGATACATTATCTACATCATTTTTAAGACGTAGACACATTATCTACATCATTTTCATGACGCAGATACATCATCTACCTCATTTTCATGATGTAGATACATCATCTACCTCATTTTCATGACGTAGATACATCATCTACCTCATTTTCATGGTGTAGATACATTATCTACATCATTTTCATGATGTACATACATTATCTACATCAGTTTCTACCCATTTTAATAGCGAAGATACATCGTCGACCTCATTTTCATGACGTAGATACATTATCTACCTTATGTTCATGACATAGATACATTATCTACCTCATTTTCATGATGTAGATACAATATCTACTTCTATTTAATGACGTAGATACATTATCTACATCATTTTCTACCCGTTTTCATTACGTAGATACATCATCTACCTTATTTTCATGACGTAGATACATTATCTACATCATTTTCATGACGTAGATACATTATCTACAATATTTAATTTATGTAGATACACTATGTACATATTTTTTCTACTGAAGATACACTATCTACGTCATTTTTATAATCTAGATACATTTTCTAAATTATCTAGATAATGTAGATAAATTATCTTTATCCTTCAGCTAACATAGATACATTTCGTATTACTCACCTGAAAGAAACGATGCTGATACAGCTCAGAGCCATCCTTGAACCAGGTAATTGTTGGACGAGGATTGCCTACAGGGAGTAGAGACACAAAGAGAGAGAGAGAGAGACAGAGAGGGAGAGAGAGAATTAGAGCTTTGAATTTTTCAAATATCCCCCCAACTCAAACTTACCCTGGGCCATGCAAAAGAAGGTGATTTTACGGCCCAACGTATAATCCAACTCGAAATGTGAAGACTTGATTATTTTGGCTCCCTGGATAAAGGAAAATAAAAAACAAAACATGATCAAGCAAGCCATTTTTATTAACATTTTCGGGCCAATTTTTTGAAATCCCGACTTTTTGATGGTGACTCACATTTTCATGATCATAATAGTTGACAGCATCTTGGGTACGATGTTGTATCAGCACCGGTTTTTTGCCCGTATAATTGCGTCGCAATACCCCACGGCCACTAACGGTTCCTGGGGAGGAAAAAACAAGTACACAAAGAAAAACGTGAAATGAAAATGGGATTTCATTTTTACTCTTTCCAAGATCCCTTACTTTGAGCCTCCAAATTGTTGGCCCGCACTATCAAAATCACAATGAATATAAAGAACTTCAGTTGATGCTGAGAAGACCAACACATTTTTTGTTTTCAAATACGCCCAACGAGAATGCGTTTTCGTCCACCAACCACAACCGGCGGCCACTTAATTTTCAAAACGTTTAACTATTATTTTTTTTAAAGGCGTTTTTGACCCAAAAACGTTGTGTTTTGTTGTTGTTGTTGTTATTTTTTTTGCAAATTTGAAAAACAGCGTGAATTTGAATTCAGCCTCAAAATGCTGTTGAAAATCGAAATTGTGGACTCCTATTGCGCGGCTGGTATGTTGTGTGGGAGCTTCAAGTGTCTGTATTATACTGGTGACCCCCAGTCAGCAAAATCAAACTGTGAGCTTAAATAGCCACCAGCTAGCCAGCCACCCAGCTTACTTGCCCACACACACAAACATCCATGTGATGGATGTGTGCGATGAGAAGAGGATGAGCGTTATGAGTTGTCAAACGTACACCCTGTATTTTTTTCGCCAGGCAAGGGGTTAGTCATGGTGTTGTGTGACCCCAGGTTTTTTTTTTTTTATCAAAAACTGAGATTCTCTGCTGCTCTGTTCTTTAATCTGATTACACTTTTATGCCGTTTGATAAGTTATCTGTTTTTGTTGGGCGACTCAATTTACATTCATTGACTTGTCTCTGTTGTGATTTTCTGTTTTTGTTGTATTATTGTTTTTTTTTTTGTTTTGAATTTTTTTAAGTTTATTTTTATCCATAGTTTTTTAAATAATTCTTTTTTTTTTTGTTCCCATCTCTCATTTCAGTGGCATGTGGAATGTGCCTTATGTGTCCAGCATTTATTTGATCAAAAGCACTGCCTTTAAACATCTCAACTATGATCATCAATATTATGACCCCGATATGGCCATGTGTGAATCACTTAGAAATGCGGTAAGTGGAACGAGAGAATGGATCAATGTTCGTTATGAATGCTGCCCGTCTATGCAAATTCATTTCCGCACAGGTTTTTGTAAAGAAATGGGATTTTTCTTGAGGAGGAAATGCGGTCAAATAATAACAGATTGTGGGGAGATTTCCGGCAATGCTTTGTAATAAAGCCTATGGTTATAAGAAAAGATGTTAATTTGATAAATTTTTAGTTAATTTTTGCCATTTTTAATTGTTTTATGCATTTCCTTTCGATGCAAGGCATTTCAATTGAAACGCCTAAAAGTATGCTTTACATTTTGTCACTTAGCTTTCCTTACAAAGCAATGGGAGAAAATTGGCCATAGAACCCGTAGTTTTCAAGCGATTTGAATTTGAATTTGAAAATTGTGAATTTGAATTCCTAAAAAGTATGGGAATTTTATAAACGATAACCTTAAGGAACCTTAGCCTTATGGACGTGACGATAAAACTTCAATAAATGCCTGTTAAGCTACTTTAGAAGGCCAGCTCTCAAAAGGACATGTTGGGATTCTCTGCCACAATTTGGAGATTTTTTAAGTCGCATTATAATATTATATAGGAATCAGTTTCAGATCGGCAGCGGAACAAATAACCTCTTAGGAAAGGGCTTCTAAAGCTACTATATCTAGCAATCCAAAAAATTTGGCCCGTTTGGTCTAAAATCTCCTGCAAGGCGACCTTTTTGAATATTGATGCCAATGGACATAATATTCTACAAAGAATTTTAGTAAAGGTCTCCGGAGAAAGGAAATATGTAAGCGAGTTATATTTCAGGGAAATATAGGCATCAATTGGGGTCTACAAAAAAAACATTGTTTTTTTTTTGGATAATATCACAAATTTTGCAATTTGACCCGAAAAACTAAATTTTAGGTAAGGGGGGCCAATGGAGAAAAGTTTCTATATCGAAATTCACTGTGGGTTTTCAAAAAGAATGAAATGATATATTTAGTAGATGTCACTAAAACATCCTATCTTATTCGGGTTAAATCCTATATTTGTTCGAATTACATACTTTTTCTTAATTTGGCCAAAATCTGCCACAAGACGATCCTTTTGGATAAAGACGCCAGTGTAAGAAATATTCTACATGGAATTTTAAAATAGGTCTCCAAAGAAAAGAAATCTGCAGGTGGGCTCTATAACAGGGAAATTGAGGTGTCAACTGGGGTCTACAAGAAAACAATTTTTTTTTTTGGTTAATTTTATGAATTTCCCCATTTCATCAGGAAAACGGCATTTAAGGTAAGGTGTGTTAATGGAAAAAAGGTTCTTCATAAAAATTCACTAAAGGTTTCCAAAAAGAAGGAATCTGTAGATATCGTAGAAGTCGCTTAACTACTAATATTTGATTTTGATATAAAACCCATTGTTGGCAAATTTTATACTTCTCCCAATTTGGCCAATATTTCCCGCAAGACTGCATTTTTAGTTGATGGTGTTAATGGGAAAAATCTTCTACAGGGAATTTCAATATAGGTCTCTAAAGAATGGAATTCTGTGGGTGTGATACATACCGGGGAAATGTAGGAATTAATTTGTGTCCACAAGAAAAAATTAAATTTTTTGGTTAATTTCATTAATTTCCCAATTTCATCAGGAAAACGGCATTTGTGGTGAGGGGTGTCAATGGAAAAAGGATTCTTCATCAAAATTCACTAAAGGTTTCCAAAAAGAAGGAGTCTGTAGATATAGCAGAAATCGTTTAAATATCACATTTGATTTTGATATAAAACCCATTGTTGAAGAATTTAATTTTTTTCCCAATTTGGTAAATATTTCCCACACGACAGATGGTGTTAATGGAAAAAATCTTCTACATGAAATTTCAATATATGTCTCTAAAGAAAGGAAATCTGTGGGTGTGATGCATACCGGGGAAATGTAGGAATTAATTTGGGTCAAGTAGTAAAAATGCAGTTTTTTGGTTAATTTCAACAATTTTAAAATTTCATTAGGAAAACTGCATTTAAGGTGAGGTGTGTCAATGGAAAAAATATTCTTTATCAAAATTCCCCATGGGTCCCCAAAATGATGGAATGTGCAGATATGTAGTATAGTTATTAAATATCATATTTGAGTTTGGGACAAGCTCCACTTTTGGGGGGAATTTTATAGTGTTTTCAAATTTGGCCAAAATTTCCCACGGGACGCACTTTTGGGATAATGACGCCAATGAAAGAAATATTCTACATCAAATTTCAACATGAGTCTCCTAAAAAAAGAATTTCGTTGGAATGAAATTAATCAAGAAAATAAAGCTGTTAATTTGGGTATTTAAGAAAAAATGTAATTTTTGGTTAAATACATAAATTTCCCAATTTGGGAAGGAAAACTGCATTTCAGGAAAATATTGTTATTGGAAAAAAGATCAAAATTCACTATGGGTCCTCGAAGAAATGGAATCTGTAACCTTAGAGGAAAATACAAAAATGTCCCATCTACTATTGGTATAAAACCGTGTTTGGGTTATTTTTCATGCTTCTCTCCCTGATTGGAGCAAATTGGCTAAAAATCTGCATTTTAGGGTAATGATGTCAAAGGAAAATATATTCTACATCAGATTACAATACAAGTTCCAAAACAAAAGAAACCTGTATATATTGTAGATATCGGGACAGTGTCCGATTACATTTTGACCTATTAAAAATAATGCAATTTATGGGTTATTTTGGGAATTTCACAAAATGACCCACAATTTGACATTTTATGGGTTTGGGGTCAAGAGAAAAAATATTCCACATCAAATTTCAATAGGGGTCTTCGAAGGAAAGAAGTTTGTAAATGCATCAGGTGTAAATAAAATGTGAGGTATTTGATGATATTTTTAATTATTTTTTTTGTAAAATTTTCATTGTTTTCCAATTAGACCGAAATCCGCCACAATACTTTATTTTAGGGTCATGGCATCAATGGCAAAAATATTCCCCATAAAATTTCACCATAAGCTTCTGAACAAAAGAAATTAATTGCCCTTCATTTTTTCTTACATTTCCAGGGTGTTCATATGTACATCATCAACGATCGTTTCTATGGCCATTTGGTTAATGCGGAAAATTTCGATATCACTGTTACCCGTCCCGATTTCTATACCCTATTTACGAATAAATTCGATTGGACCCGCAAATATATTCATGCCGATTATGAAAAACAATTGGAGGCTAACTATAGCTATAATCAACCCTGTACCGATGTATTTTGGTTTAAAATTGCCACAGATGCTTTCTGCGATGATATGGTGGCCATTATGGAGGCATTTGGCAAGTGGTCGGATGGCAGCAATAAAGATGAACGTCTAGAGGGTGGCTATGAGGCAGTGCCGACACGTGATATCCATATGAAACAAGTTGGTTTGGATGCACTGTGGTTGGAGTTTTTGAATGATTTCGTAAGGCCATTGCAGGAGAAGGTGTTTTTGGGTTATTATCATAATGTGAGTTTGAATGGGTTTAAATTTTACGGAATATGTTATAATATTAAGCGTTTTTCTTTTATTTTCCAGCCTGTCCGTTCTTTGATGAACTTTGTGGTACGTTATCGTCCCGATGAACAGCCCTTCTTGAGGCCCCATCACGATTCTTCCACCTACACCATTAATATTGCCTTGAACCGTGCCGGCATTGATTATGAGGGTGGCGGCTGCCGTTTCTTGCGTTACAATTGCTCGGTAACGGCCACCAAAAAGGGTTGGATGCTCATGCATCCTGGCCGCTTGACCCACTATCACGAAGGCTTGAGAGTAACCAATGGCACTCGCTATATTATGATTTCTTTCATTGATCCATAAATGAAGGAATTCCCAAGCAGCCCCACCACTACCACCGTTGCCGCCGCCGCCATTATGGCTATGCACAATTTATCCAAAGAATACTTTAACTTTTAGTCTTCTGTTTGGTTTCGCAAGAAAATTCCCGAACAGATGTGTTAAAATATAAACGAGAATCTCTCTGTGTTCGTTGTAGCGTTCAATAGTTTTTAAGTCTTAAAATTATGTTTTCCAAAAAAATGTCATGTAACTTCGAGTTTTAATGTACGATCTTTTGTTCTCCATACAAACGATTTTGTGAGTTCAAAGTTCTGCATTAAAACTTAACCCTTTTCCCCTCTTTCTTCTCGATATGTGTAATTACGTTTTTAGTAATGACTAGATGTTCTTTCCCTGTGTACATTACATACAATATATACATTTGTTTCCTAATAGTCTTTAAAAGCAATCATTATACATTCTTTTTTGTATGTAAAATAACAACAACCACAACAAACGAACAAAAAAACAAATCGAATATACATATATATTTTATATAGAAAATATAATAAACTAAACAACAATAATAATAGTAATAAAAAAAGAATTTATAAAGAAAATTATGTGCTATTTTTACTTTGCCCCATTTTGACCCACTAAACTGGATTTTTGGTGTAAGTCACCAATGGAAAAAAGATTCTGCATCGAATTTCACTATGGGTCTCTGAAGAAAAGAAATCTGCAAATCTAGTAGAAAATTGGTGAGTGTTGGATTTAATTATGAAAAAAAAAACACTTTGAACGAATTGTATGGTCTTTTACGATTGGTGCCATATTTCCCACAATGTCTCACTTTAGGGGGTTGATGTTAATGGAATAATTATTCGTTATCAAATTCTAAAATAGGCTCCAGAACTAAAGATTTCTGTATATATAATATATACCCAGAAAATGGAATCATCAAATTGGGAATAAAAATCAAATATCCTTTTTTTCACATTAATTTTACAAATGTCCTCTTTTGACCCACAAAACTTGGTTCTAGGTAGATGGTGTCAATGGGAAAGTTTTTCTACATCAAAATTCAATGTGAGTCCCTGAAGACGTAGTGTTTGTGGATATAGCCGAAGTTGTATAAAATGTGGCATCTAATATGGCTGTATACAATATTTAGGCCGAATTAATTAGTGTTTTTCAATTGGTTCCGTATTTACCACAATGCCTCACTTTAGGTGGTTGATGTTAATGGAACAATTATTCGTTATCAAATTCTAAAACAGGCTCCAGAACTAAAGTTTTCTATATACATAATATATACCCTGAAAATGGAATCATCAAATTGGGAATAAAAATCAAAAATCCTTTTTTCACATTAATTTTACAAATGTCCTCTTTCGACCCACAAAACCTGATTTTAGACAGATGGTGTAAAAGGAGAAATGCTTCTACGTCAAAATTCAACATGAGTCCCCGAAGACAAGGAGCTTGTGGAGTTAACCTAAGTTGTATAAAATGTGGCATCTAAATTGGTCATATACATCATTTCGGCCGAATTATGCAGTGTTTTTCAATTGGTGCCATATTTCCCACAATGCCTCACTTTAGGGGGATGAAGTTAATGAAACAATTATTTTACATCGAATTCTAATATAGGTCCTCGAACCATAGATTTCTATACAAATAATATTTATTCAGAAAATATAGCTATTTATTTGGGTATAAAAAAAAACAAGAATGCAATATTTTTGATTAATTTTATAAACGACCCCTTTTCATCCACAAAATTGAATTCTAGGCAGATGGTGTCAATGGAAAAATGATTCCAAATCAAATAACACTTCATGTCTCCAAAGACAAGGATTCGGTAGCTGTAGCAGAAGTTCTTTGAATTTAAGATTCAATTTTGCTTTGAAGCCAAGTTGGACGAATTTGGAATACCTTTTTCCAAATTGGTGCCATATTATCCACAATGCTTCGTTTTGGGCGGATGACTTTAGTGGAACAAATCTTCTACATCAATTTTTGATATGGGTCCCGGAACAAAAGAATTTTGTAAATAATACTGGTACTGGAAAAAATGGAGTAGCAATTTTGGTCTAAAATAAAATAAACATTTTTTTAATAATTTTGTGAATTTCCTGAATTTCACCCACAAAACTTCATTTTTGCTGGATGGTGTCAATGGAGAAATGATTCCTCACAAAAATCCACTTCATTCTTCTCAAGAAAAGATATTCGTAAATATCACAGAAATTCCTTGAATTGTAGGTTTAATTTTTGGTATGAAACCATTTTGTCAAATTGAACACCTTATCTCAAATTGGACCCATATTTCCCACAAAAATTTATTTTAGGTGGTTGGAGTCAATGGAACAAATGATCTACATCAAATTTTAATATAAGTCCTCGAACAAAAAAAATCTGTAAATAGTAGTGGTACCGGAAAAAAATTGAGTAAAAATGAGTGCCTAAAATGAAATAACCTTTTTTTGACAATTTTGTGAATTTCCCGAATTTGACCACCAAAACTACATTTTCGTTGGATGGTGTCAATGGAGAAAAGATTCTCAACAAAATTCCACTTCATTCTCCTAAAGAAGAGAAATCGGTAGATATCGCAGAAGTGGCTGGAATTTAAAGTTTTAATTTTGGTATAAATCCATTTTGGTTAAATTGAACAGATTTCCCCAATTGGGCCAATTTTCCCACAATACTTTGCTTTGGGTGGTTGGTGTCAATGGAACAATTTTTCTACATTAAATTTGAATATGAGTTCCCGAACAAAAAAATTCTGTATATTTAATATTTACCCGGAAAATTTAAGCATCAATATTGGTTTATAGAGACGAATTAATTTTTTTTCTATTTCAAATTGTCCCGCCAACATATAATTCAGGTGAGTGATGCCAATGGAAAACAAATATTCCTAATACAATTTCGTTATGGGTCATCGAAGAAGAGAAAACATGAATTCCTAGAATTTCAGATCTTAAATTGGTATAAAACGATGTTCGTAGGAATTGGGCAAATTTCGGCAAATGGGCAAAAAAATCTATTACACTTCACCTTGGAGAAGAAAAGTCTCCTTTTTAAGGTTATTCTTTAGAAGAATATCCTGGAAGACTTTTAAAACAGGTCCTCAAGTTTTTTCTTGGTAGCAGTAAAAAGCGAAAAACACACACTAACGGTCATCTTTATTTTCTATAAAGAGATTTTAAACACAATCGCCTGAAAGTATGCTTTACATTTGAGGTGTAATTATTCTGTTATTAACATGACATAAAAGAGTTGCCATCGTTTTTAACTTGCTCAATACCTTTTGAGCATGCAAAACAGTTTCAAAAAAAAAAAAAAAAAAGAAACGAAATAAATATTTTGTGTTTGGAAAAATATCCATTCCAAAACTTTTTTGGAACAACACAATGTGTTGGGGGTATTATAATTTGATTGGGCCAAAAAGTTTGTAACCCCTCGAAATATTGGTCCTAGACCCACGATGTTACATATGAATCTTCTTATCTCACCAAGCTGAATCGATCTGGATATATGTGCCCGTCTCTCCACATTAATTTAGAACCACGCTACAGGGAGCAATTATGAGCCGATCCCCACCAAACATAGCATTTACAAGTGGAATGAGTTTCAGAAAAGAAGTCCATTAAAAAATAAGAAACTTTTCGAGTTGCGGAACAGTCATTGATGTTGTATAACAGTTATGCCAAACTGTTATACGATTCCAAAAAATCATTATAAATGTTTCCCTTTACTATATATAGGTATAAAATGTGAATTGGGGTGAAATTTTAGAGTATAACAGTTTTCATAAACTGGTATATTATTAAACAACAAAATAAAAAAAAGCCATTATAAAACTAAAAATCATGTTTTTTTATTGAAACGGGATGCAGAACTGTTATTTGTGTTGTATAACATTTATGCTAAACTGTTATACACGTCTAAAAACACACATATGCCAAACTGTTATACTCGTCCAAAAACACATAATAAATGTTTATTTTTCATTTGTGTCGGTATACAATGTGATTTGAAGCGAAATTTCATAGTATAACAGTTTTAATACAACTAAAAATACGAAAAAAACGCCAAAAATATATATTATCTTCCAGAAAATTCATAAAAATATGTGTCGCCTCATTTTATATCTCTATTGGTAGAAACAGTTCAAGAATGTTATAATTTTGTGGGTATAACAGTTATTTCAGACCGTTATACAGCTGAAATTCATTCTTCAAAAGTGTTTTTTCAATTGAAATGGGTTGTAGAACAGGTTTTAGTGATGTATAACAGTTATGCCAAGCTGTTATACTCGTCCCTAAAGGCATTATAATTGTTTAGTTATCATTTGTATGGGTATAAAATGTGATATGGAGTGAAATTTCACAGTATAACAGTTTTCATAAACTGTTATACAACAACAAAAAAACTAAAAAATATATAATCTTCTAACTTGCATACTATTAATTTTTTGAAATGTAAACAGTTATTGGAGCTGTATAACAGTTATGTCAAACTGTTATACTCGTCTAAAAACCCATTATATATGCTCAATTGTCCTTTATATAGGTATACACTAAAATTTGGTGTACAATTTGACAGTATAACAGTTTTTTTTAAACTGTTATACAACTGTAAAAAAAAACAAATGAAAATATATATTCTGAATACATATTCCACTTTCTTATAAAAACAAAATTATTTAAAAAAAGCTAGTTTTTGAATAATTCTTAGAATTTCAAATACTCTGAAAATCCACATTTGAATGTTCTATTTTTGGAAACGAAAAAAAAAAATGAAAAACAAAGTCTAAAAAATGAATTATAAAAAAGTTTCTTAAAAAATAAAATTTAAATAACTCACATTCTCTCGTTTTATAGGAAATATTTCCAAAAAAATTTCAATTTTTAAAAAATCCAATTTTTATTTGTCCTCAATATTTTTGTGCCATTTTGTTTGCCTATTTAAATACTGTGTTCCATTTCCATTGCTTCCCTTTTAACAGCTACATTATACCCAAATATTGCTGTTATTCTCAGCCAAATATTGACAACAAAACCCAGCTGATTAGTTGTTTATTGTGTGTATGTGAGTGGGAGAGAACGTTTGAGAGAGAGAGAAAGAGCCGCCAAGTAGCATGTGATGGAAAAACAGGTGATAGATAACATGTCTTGTGGGGGTTTTGTTTTCAAATGACTTTTCTGTCGCTCTTTCTCTCTCTCTCTCTCTCCTCTATCTTTCATTGGCATATAAACTCTCTTGGTTTCTCTGTTGTGTTGCCTGTCAAAAGGATGTCTGCTGTTGTACCAAGTTTGTCATGTGTTGTGTGTGAAACCGAACCAGGAAATAAAATTAGATAAAAAACAAATTAAAATTAAAAAAGAAAAAACCACAAAATTTACAATATTTTGTGGTGGTGGTGTCACAGCAGGAGGTTTTGTTTTTGTTGTTGTTGTGGTTCTACCCATTTCTGGGTAACCAAATGAAAGTGCAATCGTGTGTTTTTCTTTATCATTTAAACATTGTTGCTGTATTGGATATGCTGGCTGGCTGGCAGGCCCTCTTTTCCTTTGTTTTTATTTGTTGTTGTGTGTGGTTCCTCTGCGAGAGAGCGCCCTCAGTTCTTATAGCACCAAACTGCTGCCCAAACAAATCCCGCAGTCAGTCATCATCGGTCGTCGTGTGAGCCGCGAGTCAAGTTGCTTTCGTTTTCGGTGTCGTCGTTTTCGGTGCGCTAGCTAGTTTTGCAAAACCTAGAATTTCGCCTGACAACCCGTCAGCAAGCCAGGCGGCAGTTGAGGGAGTATAAAAAGCAATGAGTTTACCATTCTAAAGTTCAGTTTCGACTTTTGTAGCGCAAAGATATAAACCACGGACTGACGGATTGGGGAACCAAAAAAAAAAGAGTGAAAGAATTTAAAAGGAAAAAATAAATAATTTTTTAAGAAAAAATAGAAATTAACTAAATAATGCCTTTTCAAAGCTGAGTTTTGAAAATTAAAAAAAAAAATTAAAAATTAAAAATTTTTATTGATAAAAATAATTCATAAAATATTGTGAGTGCGTGCGTGTGTGCAAAAGAAAAGTGTACAAAAAATCAAGTACCACAAAAGAAAAACAAAAGCAAAATGCTGATAAACAAATTCTAGGCTTATCCAGTCGGAGAGAAATAAAATGTCAACAAAGAAGTAAGGCCTCCCTCCCAAAATGGCATTTTCTTTTATTAAAAATACATATTTTGTTGTTAAAAAAAAACATTTAAAATTTGTCTTTGAAACAGGAAGTCTGTCACTCAAATTTCAATTTAAATTTTATTTTTTCTATCCTCGGAAATCAACGTTTTCTAATGCAACTTTGGGAAATACCCTAAAGAGATTAACACCATAGAGAAATATTTAAATAATATAATTTTTTTTTATTTTTCCAAATCAATTATTTGTTATTCTTCCAAAAACAATCCCGTTCTTTTAAACAAAATCAACCTCCAGAGCATGTCTGTCATAAAAATTCCAATTGGAATTTTTCTTTCTTCTTCCTTTAAACTCATTGTTTTTTTTCTAATGCAAGCTTACTCTGTGTGTTATGCAAAAACAAAAAAAAAAAAAATACCGTAAAGAGATTACCCCGGTCAGTGAGTGGGAGAGAGACACAGAGTTGGGGAGAGACCATGAGATTTCTTCACATCAAACAAAACAAGGACTGTAATGGGAAAATAAGAAAATAATAAGAAAAAGGAGAACTAAACAAAATAACGGCACATCTTTATCTGGCACTAACTACAACCAGGAAGAGTAATGATTTTTTCTTTTTGCTTTCTTTACTCTCTCTTAGGGATGTGTGTATGAGCGCCCCCCAACTAACTGTGAGACATCTTCAAGTGTATATTTCATTCATTGTTCTTGTTGTTTGTTATTGCCAAAACTTTTGGTGTGCCAGGGTGTGAGTGTAGTTTACTGTTGCTGCTGCCCTTAAGGTATTGCTGTTTTATTTCCTTTCAAAGTCTCAAACAACTGAGACTCTCTGCTTCTCCTTTTTAACAACACACACATAAATATATGTAAACACATGCATTGGCCTCGTCACATGTGTTCCTTTAATTGTCTGTCTCTTCATTGCCGCAAAAATGGATTTTCGGACTCCTTTTTTATGGGGAAAACCAGAAAAAACGTTAATAACATTTTCAATTGGATTTTTATTATTGTCATGTTAGAGAGACGACAGAGAGTATCGGCGAGAGTGTTTTTTTTGCCAGAATGAGGCTATGCTGATAAGGGAAGTTTGAATGGTTTTGAGAAGTCATGATAAAATTTTTGGATGAGAAAACAAAACATTTTAAATTTCTCCAAATAATCAGTGAAATTTTAGGATTTTTTTTTTTAAATTATTTTTATAAAAAAATTATTTCATAAAAAATCATAGACATAAAAAATGAATTTTGAGAGGCTATTTTATTTTTATTTTAAGTAGTATTTTTAGAAAGAAAAAAAAAAACGAAAAAATCACTGAAATAACAATTTATATTCCTAGGTCTGTTAGGACCAAATTCCAATTCAGGACATTTGGAGTTGAGCTAGATTGACGATAAGTAACGAATGGAGTATTCGATTTGGTCCAAACTTGGTACATCGCATTATTTTTATCCAACTTAGACAGAATTCACAGATGGGCAATATCGGCCCACTGCTTCGAGTACCTCCCTCACAAAAGGTCAAAATGTTCAAAGAAAAAATTAACCTTATTGAACGAGAAATGATCAAACAATTTTCTGTAAACTTTGGAAATTCTAATATTTTTATTAGTTGTAGGAGAGGTGCAAAAATGGACGACATCGGTTCACTACTTCAAGCATCTTCCCCACAAAGGGTTAATTTTTTTAATAATTATATCTCTTATAAAATATGAAACATGAGTCCGTTTGTCTTCAAATTTTGCACATCTCAATATTTCTAGCAAGACAAGATCTGGCATGAAGAACGGATAGAACGGACCACTCCTTTTGGTACCTCTCACACTTTTGGTACCTCTCATACAATAATCATGAAGCTCATAAAATACAAAATGAGCATCCGATTCCTTTCAAACTCGGCACATTCTAATATTTCTATCAACACAAGATTAGGTATGAATATGAAATATATCTGACCTTCCCTTCTGGTACCTCCCCCACAAAGGGATCAACATTTTGAATAATTAAAACTATAATAAAATGCGAAATAAGCATCCGATTCTTTTCAAACTTCGCATATCCCAATATCTCTATTAACACACGATTTTATGTGAAGATGATATCCATCGATCTATCCCTTCTGGTACCTCCCCCACAAAGTGGTCAAAATTTTGAATAACCAAAAAGCTCATAAAACGAAAAATAAGCATCCGATTTCTTTCAAATTTCATACTTCTTAATATTTCTATTAATACAAGATCTGTTGTGAAATTGGTAGATATCGGTCCACCCCTTCTGGTACTTTCCCCACAAAGGGGTTGAAATTTTGAATAATTAAACCGACCATTAAATGCGAAATGAGCATCCTATTCCTTTCAAATTCGGTACATTCTAATATTTCTATAAGCACAAGATTAGGTATGAATATGGAATATATCTGATTATCCCTTCTGGTACCTCCCCCACAAAGGGGTAAACATTTTGAATAACCAAAAAGCTCATAAAACTCAAAATAAGCATCAGATTTCTTTCAAATTTCATACATCTTAATATTTCTATTAATACAAGATCTGTTTTGAAATTGGTAGATATCGGTCCACCCCTTCTGGTACTTCCCCCACAAAGGGGTTGAAATTTTAAATAATTAAAACGATCATAAAATGCGAAATAAGTATTCGATTCATTCTAAACTTCACACATTCCTATATTTCCACTAATACAAGATCTATTGTGAAGATGGGATATAATCGTCCACTCCTTCTGGTACCTCCCCCACAAAGGGTTTGAAATTTTGAATAATTAAAACGATCATAAAATGCGAAATAAGCATCCGATTCTTTTCAAATTCGGCACATTCCAATATCTCTATCAATACAAGATCTGGTGTAAAGATGGTAAATATCGGATAACTCCTTCTGGTACCTCCCCCACAAAAGGGGTTAAAATTTTGAATAACCAAAACGCTCGTATAATGCGAAATAAGCTTCCGATTCTTTTCAAACTTTGCAGATTCCAATATTGTTATTAACACAAATTATGGTGTGAAGATGGAACATATCCGTCCACTCCTTCCGGTACCTCCCCCACAAAGGGGTTAGAATTTGGTTTTAATAAAAACGCTCATAAAATACGAAATAAACACCCAAATCATTCCAAACTTCACATATTCCAATATTGTCACTAGCACAAGATCTGTTGTGAAAATGGTCGATATCGATCCACAGCTTCTGGTACCTCCCCCACAAAGGGTCACTATTTTCAGTACTTATATCTCTCATAGCTTGCGAAACTAGTCAGTGATTCCTTGCAAACTTGGTATATCTTTGCCAGAGAGCAAATGTGAAAATGAAATTGGCTTAAGACTTGATTTTTTCTAAAATGTTTTAAATATTTTAAATATTTTTCATTTTTTTAATATTTTTTTTTTCAAATTTCTGAAAATATTTTATTTGGCTCTTGAAGAAAATTCCTCAAATTTCCATCTTTTTGTAGGATCTCCCATCATTTTTTTAAACCACCTGCATCAATTTCTCTTCTCTATCGCTCTCCCTCCTCCAAAACAATATTCCCTCGTGAAAATTTAAATTTTTTTTTTAATTTCTGAAAATATTCCATTTGGCTTTTGAAAAATATTCCTCAAAAATCCAATTTTTTGGCGTTTCCCCATAATTTTTGCAACCAACAAGCATTGAGCATCAATTTCTCTTTTCTATCTCTCTACCTTTTCCAAAACAATATTTCAAATTCCCTCTTAAAAAATTTAAATATTTTTTTTTAATTTCTGAAAATATTTCATTTGGCTCTTGAAAAACATTCCTCAAATATCCATCTTTTCGTAGGATCTTCCATCATTTTTTTAAATAATCTCCATCAATTTCTCTTTTCTATCTGTCTCCCATTTCCAAAATAATATTTGAAATTCCCTCTTAAAAAATTTTAAATATTTTTTTTTTTAATTTCTGAAAATATTTCACTTGGCTTTTGAAAAACATTCCTCAAAAATCCAATTTTTTTGGCGTTTCCCCCTCATTTTGAAACTTACCTGCATCGAGCATCAATTTCTCTTTTCTATCTCTCTCCCTTTTCCAAAATAATATTTCAAATTCCCTTTAAAAAAATTTTAAATATTTTTTTTAAATCTCTGAATATATTTCATTTGGCTCCTGAAATACACTCCTCAAAAATCCATCTTTTATTTGGGTTTTTCCTATCATTTTTGAAACCAACCTGCATTGAGCATCAATTTCTCTTCTCTATCTCTCTCCCTCCTCCAAAACAATATTTCAAACTCCCTCGTGAAAAATTTTAATTTTTTTTTCATTTCTGAGAACTTGTAATTTGGCTTTTGAAAAACATTCCTCAAAATCTATTTTTTTGGCTTTTCACTATAACTTTTGCAACCAACCAGCATCGAGCAACAATTTCTCTTTTCTCTCTCTCCATCCCTCTTCCAAAATAATATTTCAAATTCCCTCTTAAAAAATTTTAAATATTTTTTTTTTAAATTTCTGAAAATATTTCATTTGGCTCTTGAAACACATTTCTCAAAAATCCAATTTTTTTGGCGTTTCCCCATAATTTTTGCAACCAACCAGCATTGAGCATCAATTTCTCTTTTTTATCTCTCTCCCTTTTCCAAAATAATATTTCAAATTCCCTCCTAAAAAATTTTAAATATATATATTTTTTTAAATTTCTGAAAATATTTCACATTCCTGAAAAATCCAATTTTTTTGGTTTTCCCATCATTTTGATGCATTGACCATCAATTTCTCTTCTCTCTCTCCCTCCTTCTTCAAAAATAATATTTCAAATTCCCTCTTAAACAATTTTAAATATTGTTTTTTTTTTTTAATTTCTGAAAATATTTCATTTGGCTCTTGAAAAACATTCCTCAAAAATCCATCTTTTATTTGGTTTTTTCCTATCACTCACCTGCATCGAGCATCAATTTCTCTTTTCTATCTCTCTCCCTTTTACAAAATAATATTTCAAATTCCCTCTTAAAAAAATTTTAAATAT